CTCTGCATCATCACGCTTGCAGAATACTACCCTGGCCCGGCTGCTCTTCTTCAGGACCTGCGTCTCGGATTCCTGCAGCGTCCCAAAACGACCAAATATCTTGTTCAGCTCCTCCACTGTTGGAGCTGACTCGTAGTCCGTGAAGTTCAGGATCAAAGCAGTGGGAGATGGATCGTCGTCACTAGATTTCTCTTCCACCTGCTCATTCGGCGGTTTCACCACTGCATCCGCGTCATCAGCATCTGCTTCCTCACCATTTTGCTGCTCGGGAGTCCCATTGCCGCCCTGTTCATCAGTTGCTGGTAGTTCAGCAGCTGCTGCTATAACCTCTTCACCATTTTTACATTCCGATATCGATTTTTCTTCGAGGATTGGATCGCTGCCTTCTTCCTCAAGAATTTTGGTTGCTGGAGAATCTGATTTGGTGGGTGATTTTTTCCCCTTGGATTTTGCAGGCCTCTTTTTACTTCCTTGCTTCTTCTTCTCCTCTTTAGTCCTTTGAGAAGAAGGGCCATCATCGTGGGATTTCAGTATTGGAGATGAACCATTCATTTCACTGGCCACCTTGAGGATGCTAAATCCAATTCCAAAACTTCCCTTTTTAGACTGGGAAGTGTTCTTACCACTACCTTCGGGAGATGAAAGAGTTTGGCTCTTCTTCACGGCCAAATCATCAATATCTGAATCAGCAGCCTTTCTCTTCTTTCCGTCACTGGACTTCCCAACGGCCTTACTCTCTGATTTGCTTTTGACAATAGACGATTTGCCTCTATCATTCGAGCGCCTCTCAGCAAATAAAGCAGCCAATGTTTTCTCTTTCTTGGCAGGGGTTTGCTCCTTGTCCACAGAATGGCGCTTCCTCTTTGAAGAAGAAGTCTTCTTTTCATTCTCATCATTGTCCCGAGTCGACTCTACCCCAGATAACGTAATATCTACTTGCTCCTCCAACACAGTCCCAAGAATTTGGAGCTCAGGCAGCTGCGAATAGCCCTTCCAACGACTTAAAGCCAACACCTGTGATCTTGCAGTTACGAATTCCAGCCTATCAACCCCACCCAATGGTGACTGACCAATTCCCTTGATGTATTCGACAAGTTTCTCCGGGCGAAAAGAAGCTACACTAGAACATATATCTCCTCCATCTCTTCTACAGTACTCCTCCTTAATTCCAGGATTGACAATTACCTGGGTTTTGATCTCCTTGTAATCAGCTACACAAGGACACGCTAGGCCAAACTCCACACGTCGGGCAACTTCATCAAGAGCGCAATCAATGGCGTCGTGAAATTCCTCCGAATTGCTCTGCTTTGCCATCTGGGAGAAATGGGCATGGAAGGGCTTTATCTTTGATGTCTCATTCCAAGCGAAACTCTGATCCCCAAAATAAACTATCAAATGGTGCTCCTTCTTCATATACTTCTTTGCCTGGTCAGATGCAGCGGAGGTATCGAATATCTGCGCCGGCCACCATGGATGGCTCCTTACTTTGCCCCATACTAAATCAGAACCAGCAAATTTGGATCTCCAAAGACCGACTTTCGTGTTAGTTCCAACGGTGGAGGGAGCAGCAAGATCTGAGTTATCAGGCTTAGTTTTCCCGCTCTCTGGCAACGTTACATTTCGAGGTTCCGTTTTTGGTTCATCAATTTCCATTTTCTCATCTTCGAGATGCTTGATGGCCTTTCCGTGTTCTTCGGAAACCCTATCGTGCGAGCTGCCAACAGGGACTTGCCTTTCCGGCGTTTCAGCATCCTCGTTCCCAAACACCTGGTGAGAGGAATCGTCGCTCTGGACTTGGATTGCGCAGGCGTCGGTTGTTGCTCCTTCTTCTTCTTCTTCCTTAACCTGACAAGATCCATTTGATTCAACCTTTTCGGAAGGTTCTTCTTCACCTCCTTGCACGCCAAGATCCAAAATCTCGACATTCGCCTTCACCGGACCAAGTCCCGCTTCCGAGTCATCAACTCCTCCATCACTAGATTCCACTTTACCTTCGCAGCCCTTCGACTCATTCGCCCCTACGACATCCAGAACTCCTTCGCCTCCCCGCTTTACCACTACTCCCGAATCCTCAACTCCTCCATTACGAGATTCCACTCTACCTTCGGAGTCCTTCAACTCATTAGCAGCTTCGACATCCTCCGGAACTCCTTCAATTTTCACCGTTTTCGAATCATCAACTCCTCCATTACCAGATTCGACTTCCCCTTCACAGACTTTCAACTCATTAGCCACTTTGACTTCCGGAACTCCTTCAATAACCGTCGTTTCCCCCTCGCCGTGACCGTTGACAGGGTCAGCTAGGGTTTCAGCACCCGAAGAAACCACCACCGGTTCAGCAGAAAGAGCGCCGGACGCATCTTTTGCCGGTACGACGGAAGCGCTGTGGGTGTTCAAGTCGATGTCGTCCAGATCCCCGGACATAACTTCTACACTTTGAAGAAAACCTAACGTCAACGGCGCAAAAGGAAAGTAAATTGAAATAGAAGCCGCAAAGAAAAGAAAGAGAGGGATGAGACTTACTTACCTTGCCTTTCCGGCAGCGGAGACGACGCCGCCGAGCTTAACAACGGTAGGTAATTGTAGTTTTGAGAAGGGAAGAGGGAATTTTGTTTCCTTCGGAGTTTTCCTTCCGCTACGGGGACATTTGTTTCGACGTTGAGGGGAAGGAAGGAAGGGCGAGAGCGAGACGGAAAAATAGGCCACAGCTGGCCGCTTGCCGTGGGGGTTTCAGTGCCTGCTCCCGTTGGCAGCGTACGATGTTCCGTTATGCCACGTGGTGGGATTCTGACGGCTTGATTAAGGAAATTGGTTTTACTTCTGGCGGCCGAGGGATCAAAGTTCAGGTGGGCGATGAGGGCCAAGATTAGGTAACTAAGGGGGTTATGTGACTAAGTGTAGCCATCTAAACTCATTTAAATCCAAAGGTTCAGATTAATCCGATTTAATGAAGGACAATATAATAATTACATTACTTTATTATTTTTTAATTATTAATTAATTAAAAAAATAGCTTGCCTAGTGGCCAGTGCCGCTCGTATTCCCTCTTGTCGGCTTACCTTTGCTCTCGCCCCGCCGACCACTTTGACTGCTTTGTTCTCGGCGGCGCCGGTAATGGGAATAATTCGCCGGCCACTTTTACTCTCAGCGGCGGCGGTGATGGGGAATAATCCCCCTGCCATTTTTATTCCTTTGCTGCCACCAGGAATAATCCCCCTGCCATTCCTTTGATTGCCAGAGAGAGAGAGTTGGATTTGTGATGTTTACTGACCTATTTTGTGATGTTTGTATAGATTCGGTTTGTATTGTTTGTCATTTTTAGTAACATTTTGTACGGTTAGTATGCTTTGTACTGTTTGTCGATTTATTTTGTAATGTTTGTACGCTTTGTTATTTTGTAATGTTTGTCGCTTATTTTTTTTTTTTTTGTAATGTTTGTAAACTTTGTTATTTTTGTGCACCATGTTTATCATTTTTGTCAACCATGTTTGTAATGTTTTTACGTCTAAAAAACAACCTGATTGACTTTTGGATGGAACTCCTCTATATAGGGATGGAGCCTCCAAAGTCAACCCGGGTGTTTTTTCTAGTTTGTATGGATTGTCGGTTTAGTTTGTCATTTTTGTCCATCATGTTCGTAATGTTTGTGTTGGGCCGCATAGTTGAGCGTACTTGGGCTTCGGGCCCAAGAGAGGTGAGTCAGCAATTAAGGCCCAATAAGGAGGCCAGGCCCGATCGAAAGATCGGGTCAGCAGGCGGTCCTTGACCGACTGCAAACCCAAGAAATAGATAAGGGCGCCTGACATAAAGCGACTGAGCAACACAGAAAGGCAGAGAGCCGTTGAAGATGCGTATATGGTGTCAGGCAAGACTGAGCATTTATTGCCGGCCACAGGCGGCCTGCAGAAAGGCTGAAAGCCTGCCCAGGACGCCTGACATGGCCCAAAAAGCCTGCTCGAGACGCCCGACCAGGCCTAAGGCGCCCGACATAGCATTTAATGCCCCAACCACCCTAAAACCAGATATAAATAGAGGGTGAGTGCATTAATGGTAAGACCAACTACTACCTATCTCTCTACCATAAATTCATATCTCTCCCTTTCTCTCTCTAACTGAAGCTTCGGAGAGTGTCCCGGGCGACCGCCCCGGACCGTTGTTTTGCAGAGTATCAGGAGCACTCCCTACATCCAAGAACAGGCGCCTCGCCCCAGCTCCGCAAACCGCCTAGTATTTACTAGGCACAAACAGTTTGTATGTCTAAAAAACAACCGGGTTGACTTTGAGACGGAGCCCTCTATATAGGGATGAAGCCTCCAAAGTCAACCCGGGTGTTTTTCTAGTTTGTATGAATTTTTGGTCTAGTTTGTCATTTTTGTCCACCATGTTTGTAATGTTTGTATGTCTAAAAAATACCCCGGTTGACTTTGAGAAGGAGCCCATCTATATAGGGATGGAGCCTCCAAAGTCAACCTGGTTGTTTTTTTCTTTTTGTATGGTTTGTATTGTTTGTCGGTCTAGTTTGTATTTTTTGTACAGTTCATATGTTTGTAATGTTTGTAAATCTGTTTGTATGTTTTGTCGCTCTAGTTTGTACTGTTCGTATGCTTGTATGGTTTGTACTGATTATAAGTCCGGTTTGTATACTTCATAATTTTCCATAATACCCAAACTACCCCTGTCATTAATTAAATAGCCTTCCTACTTTTTAACCATCAGATTGATGTGTACAGATCTAAGGGTTGTTGGGGGGGGGGGGGGGGGGCTTAGTCAAGTGACTAAGCACTCCCCCTTAGTCACCGAATCCTCTCTCTGGGCGATGGTGTGGGGCTGTGGGCTCAATATTCTCTCCACGTGTCGAGAACAAAGAATATGAGCGACGTTGTGGCATGTGAGGAATTGGGGGCGTTCAATCAGACCACCTGTGTTTATAGGGAACTACTAGCCCAACCCAAAAGCTGATAGATGGGCCAGGTCCAAAAGTAGTCTGGCCGCTTCTATCGCATCACGTATAACTTTTATTTGACATTTTTTATAACTCAAATACTCAATAACATCCTAACGCACACACCGGTTGAGCGATGAGTGCCGATGACGAAGCGAGACGCGGTTGACCTGCTTGATTTATTTGGTCCCTCCACGTGGATATCCATTAAATGCCTTCGGAAACATCATAACGGGCCTCGGTAGGGTGGAACACGGAAACTGCAACTTCGCGGAACGAGCGCCCACTAAGGATTTCACCATTAGATTATGTGAACTTTGGCGTTGTTACATACCGCTTGAAACCCAAAAAAAAATTGAGAATTTATTACTTTAAATGAATTCCTATATTTTGAATGTAATATTTAAAAATTTAGAAATAAATTGAATTAAATTCTTAAAACATGTAAGTAATATGTTCATAATTCAATTAAATTACCATTATTAATTTGCAGCATAAACAACATTCCTATTAGTCATTGAAAATTCATCTTCTTCTAACTCCAAATAATTGATCAAATGGTATTGTGAAGATGGAAACATCTACCACCCTTTGAATTCAAACATTGAGGTCAACAACAAACGGGAAAAAAAAAAATTCTAAAAAATACAAGTGCCAAAATTCTCATCCAACCAATATGACAACAAAAAAATGAAAGTTCCTGAAAAGGCAACGATCAATATTACCATCAACATATACCAACATATATTGCACACATATATCAAGCAAAAGAAACATAGATCGTAACAACTAAAAAATAAGGAACAACAATCTTCATAAAAAAAAAAGCAACCGGCGAGTAACAATATGTAAATGAGATACATGCATAGGTGCACCGTATATATAAATCTAATATCGACGAGTGATTGATGATGTTGATTATGATTATCTTTTGTAAAAAAAAAATTGATGATGTTGATTATGAGTAGTAGCAACATTGCAGATTAGTTGAAAACACACATCAAAGAAGGCTCAGGAGCAAAATCATGATTAGTTATATTCACTCTTTTCCTCGTTGGTCGAGCTGTAACGTCTTCGTATATGTCAAGCAACTTTCTTCCTCTCCCTTCGCTATTAAGTAGCGGTTGAGCAGCAAGTTTAGGCACGAAATCATAAGTGAAATTTACTTAATTGTCATTTTTATCATAAATAGTAAATTATTTGTGGAATTCGTTCGAAATTTTATAATTGATAAAACCAGCCACAGTTCCAGTCACGATTTCATTTATACAGAAAGACATGTTAAGGTAACTAACTAAACATGATTTTTTTTTTAGAAACAAAAACCAAGCTAAGTCATCCTCAATTACAAAATAAAGCTATCTTATCATAAAGATGACATGTTCTCAATAGATGGATAATACATTACTCATTGTTCATAGGGTTTTGACAATGGACTGGATAACATATTTGCGAATTGTTCATAGGATTTGCAGGAATCTACTATTGACTCCAGCTCTATACAAATGCAACTCTGTTCTTCCAGCCGTCACACTGATCTCTGTATCCGCAGTTGCAAGCATTACATCCCCTTCCACCACCGCATCTCTCGTCGAAGACCCCGTCGTCAACATCGCTCCTTCCCCGCTCGCGATCACAAAAATGGACGGTCCCTCCACCGCCGGAAACACCGCCGACTCCCCTCCCGGCAGCAAGCACCGATCCACCTCGAATTCGTCGAACGGCGGGAGATACCTCGTCGTGTACGGATTCAGAGCAAACCCTTTCAAGATTTCAGGACGCCCCTGCATTCCCACAAACCGAAAAAAAACCATCACTTCCATTTTCCTTTCCTGTTTTCTGTTTTTTATGTAATAAATTTGGCAACCAGAAAATTTGTTTACTTTTCATTTCATTTTCTATTTGTTTTCCAACTATGAAAACAGAAAGTGACAACTTTCCGCTGTTTTCAGAAACGACAAAATGTAGTAAAATGGGTTTACCTGTTTGTAGGTGAGCATGGAGCAGAGCGTTCCGACGTCTCGATACTTGGGAGTGAGGCCAGCTCGGACGACGTTATCCGACGTGGCCATAACCTCGATGCACTCGCCGGCCACGTAAGCGTGCGGCTCGTTTGCACCGATGCACAGAGCTTGGCCAGGTTTGAGCTTTACGTAGTTGAGGAACAGGGCTGCTATGACGCCGATATCGCCTGGGTATTGCCTCTCCAGTTCCAGAATCAGGTTTTCCTTCTCCGTTAGCTCCCTCCCCTGGCTTTCCCTCTGCAATCTGTTCTTCAGGTTGGATGCTGACGCAGCTGCCGCCTCCTTGCTGGCGGACATTAGTTGGGTGAAGATGGATTTCAATCTCGATTTGATTTCGAGTCCTCCATCTTTCTGTTCCTCGTTGACTTGCAGCAATTGGTTTACATCTTCGACGTCGACCACTTCCTTGATCTCTGGAGTGTTCTGCAACAAATCTTTGAGCTCCTATATATGTGGGAGGAGACAATTATTAACAAATTAATGTGTGTGTAAGAAAGATCTCTTGTTGTATGAAAAAAGGACATGGATGAAAGAAGCACCTGGAGAGAAATGAAACCAGAAAGGGCGTGGAACTCTGACAGGGCCAAAGCCATTTCAGGTTTGTGATTGTCGTCCTTGTAAGCAAGTGGGTGCGACTTGTGGAGCTGCTTCGCCAGTTCTTTGTCTGGGTGCGCTTGAATTGATAGTGCTTTAGCCACGGAAAGTATCTGCCAGGAAATTATTATGAGATTGGATAAATTAGTGCTTTCGGTTAGAACGGGAAATCCGTCAGTGTAATAAAGTAAAGACACATAGATTTACGCGGTTTACTGACCGAATATAACTTACGCTAGAAAGAAACTCAATTCCATGTAGAGACAGAAAAGAGAAGAAGGAAAGGGAGTCATGTTACATGTGTCACGAACCAGTTGCTAACAATAACTCGAGATGTTGAAAGAGGTTCAATCGTGAATTATATACCACAACGCTAACTAGGCGAGAGAGTACCTTGTACAAGAAGGGGAGATGAGGTCCCCAGTTGCTGAAAACCTTGTGGCCTAGCGCAGCAGGATTTTGGGCAATCCAGTCTTTCAAACTCGACTCGCCGTTGTCGCCGCCGGAGACGACGAAAGAGGGGCCGGAGTCGTGGACACCCATCCAGAGTTCGGCATAGGGCTTGTCAGGTTGGATCTGAGAGCGGGAGTTGAAAGCAGAGAGCCTTCCGACCAGGGATTCCGGGCCGACTCTGCCCCAGTCGTAGTGCTGAACAGAGCATCGAAGCCGCAGGAGCCTCCGCTGGTTGTTGGCCGCCAGTTCAGGCCCCATTGATGCGTGGGGAAGAAGAGCAGTGTGTGTTTCGTTACCTCGGGGAACTCCTGGAAGAAATTAAAGGCCTTTACAACTGGAGAATGGTGTTGAGGCGATCGAAAGGAATTTCTCGCTTCTCTGTGGACAGGGGGCAGAGGCAGTTTCCTCCTCTTTCGGAGTTTTCTCAGCCGGAACGGTAATTATCGCTTTCAGTCATTTGCCTACAAAACCAACACGCACGTACATGGATGGAGGAGGGTTTGGATTTTGAACGCAAACTGTCGTGAGAGAAGTTTCCTTGTGTATTGGGATGTCTCTCCCTATCAGAGTTGGTTTGGCCAAATTGTCGTGTTTGGTTCTCCACGACTCTCAATATTTACAGTTGATTAAAGTACAAAATATGGTGGACCTGTACAACCTTCAACTTCGCAAAGTTATTCATGTCATATTGATTTGCGGCAATTCTTAATTAGTCCTTAATTCTTTTATTGCTCATCTTTTTTGGTGGATTCATTTTGGTATATTATATCTTGCAAAACAAGTAACATCACGAAAATCATGCAAACACATGCAATCGTCCTAGCCGACATAATTCAATGTCTCTCGTTAAGAAATCTTATTCCCCTCTACTACCCAAGGTTACAGAGTGATTCCTCCCAGGATAGAAAGGACAACAACAGTTGTTGAAGAAACAACGAAGAAACAACGGGTAGAGCAAAAGAGGCTGTTGAAGAAGGTGTTCCGGAGTTGCAGCTTTTAAGCAACTAGCTTTCTATGGAGAACGTGTTTGAACTGGGTGAGCTACAGTCGAAGGAAATCATTCTGGTGACCAATTATCACTGGCAGCAACGTTCAAGATGCTGTGCCAGATTCTCGAGCTCCTATGTGTTAAATTTAGTCTAGAAGGATTAGATGAAGATGCCACTACCTCAAGGAACGAGAATCGATCAATACAAACCTACTGTATCGATCCTGAAGGGAGGAGAATTGATCTTGTCAATTCTACAGAACCTGATAATTCCGACATCAACGTTCAATTCTGCAAATTGAATGACGACTTGCACTTCGAAGTTCATGGATTGAAGCACTTGTTTGTCTAGCTGTTTGAGCTATGGATTCCGTGGAATTGTGGAGTCTATATGTTCGTTCTTGATGATGATTATGCAGGAAATTTTGTTTGGAAGCCAAACTGCGACTAGACCTAGCAATTGGGTAGGGTTGGGGCATCGGATTACGGGTTGGGGCATGTTGGGTTGATAGATTTCGGGTCAAATATTGACTCAACCCATCGTGTTTCAGGTCGGGTTATAGGTCATTTCGAGTTATGGGCGCTCTCATAAACAATATCAAACATGCTTCATATTTTTTTAAAGAACACAAATCTTCACATATGCATGGCAATAGTTTACCTAACACATGCCAATTAACGTATTCTCAAATCCTCATATCCTAATGAAATGAATTACAAATTGCACAAATTGTCAAAAAGCAATCACAAGTGTGATACTACTACAGTCTACAAGAAATACATGATATTTGATTATTCTCAAACTCCAAACATGTCTTTCAAGTCCTTGTGACTTTTTTTGAACATCTCGCTAATTTATTAGTGATTTTATCATTTTGGGAGTGACACATGAAATGAAACAGGTCGACCAGCTAACCCACCCAACATGCCACAAAAAATTGTGAGTTAATCGGGTTCGGGTGATTCAGGTTTTGAGTTATAAAAACTTCAAATTTTCAGCCGGGTTAGGGTCGGGTTGTAATTTGTCAAATGGGAGAATGATGCATGGTGTTTTACACAAGTTTTGAGAGCAAAATTTCTTCATCGGGGAGGGACTAATGTAATTTCCCTTGGCCGAGTCATCAAATACCCCGATCGGGGAATCAAGAGGGTGACCGGGGAATTGCAACAGAGACCCCCCAGTCGGTTGAGTTAAATCTTTGACAGGGGATCGGGGCTGACGAGTGTCGACTGTGTCTCTGTAACAATCAAGCATCCATTTTTTGGCTTGTGAATTTTGCTCTCGCCGTTGGTGGACTCCAAGTGTTGATTGTGTCTCTGTAACAATCAAGCATCTATATTGATTGTGGTAGAGCTTCTACCTTCATATTGTTCGAGGCTCTTTCCAATTTCATGTTGAAGTTGCACGTTCAATTTCGTCTTATCCTTTTATTTTTTTGGGTTGGGTTGTTGAGAAAAGTTCAGATTACTCTAAAAAGAAAGTGGTTGCGATTTTGACAAATTCAAATGGTTTCATGCTCATATCACAAATGTTAGAAATGCAACACCCGATATATATTGAAATTCGCGGCTGAGTTGTATTCGTTGTCTGCATCAAGCAGGTAGTTTATATCAGTAACTTAGACTTGAGCTAAAAACAATTTTTTTGTCCTCCTGCTTCAAGGAGAAACACCATTAGTATCCATCTTTGATCGACAGACAAGCTTGTATCTGTTTGTGGAACAGTGGTGAAGGTTAGCACCGCGAAGCCTCTGGTTGTCCAGATGAGTTTCGATTGTGAAAACTATAAATCCAATGTTATGGGACAATCCAAGAATCACATCGATAATATAAGAGAAGGAACCCTTGTATATTAGTGTTCACCAAGCTCATTAGTACGAGGGCGAGACCTTTTAGAGAGGACATTCAAGAGTAAAACCGTGCGACCCAAAGCGGACAATATCATAGACCACCCAGATTCAACATCCAGCATTGTAGATCTTCAGCTAAAGCATTAGATTTTCAGAAAATAGAAGTAGAGTTTGAGGCTTCCTTTTTACTTGCATTTCCTTGTTACCCAGGACCTTGTTGATGGTGCATTCGTGGAGATGTTTGACAAAAACAACTGCTTTTCCTAGGTGCAAACATCCTCTTATTCGCGGAGTCAATCGTCCAGGTCAAGGCCCTAAAGTTCTTCATAAAATTTGCTTTCGAAGGTTGATCAAGTCGTTTGTATATGCTTAAAGCTGTGGTTTCACATGCTTGCAGAACAGCTCTGGCATATTTCACAACAGCATTTGTTCATATGCTATCAGTTTATATTCCATGAAAGTTGTGTTCATTTACATTACAGAAGCCATCACTTGGGTTCACTACAAGAATCAATGATAATGTATATCCACAAATTGGAAGCTTCCTCTGCTACATATAGTGTACAACAACAAACATAACATATTTGCGTTGGTATAGGAAGTAACTAACCTTCTCAAAGGAATCTATCTTCAACCAAGGGGTCAAGTCGCCACTCGCTCCCATAATACTCATTCGGCAGACCCAACCAAAACTTGAAAGCCTCGGCAGCTCTCTTCCTCTCCTTCCTCCGGTCTTGCCTCGCTTGTGAAGCGTGTTTACTCGTAAACATCCTGGAATGCATCTCCACGTAAATCTTCTTGTACTTGGACTTGTTTGGTGGTATTCCATGTTCTTCCATGCAGGCCACAATCTCCAATGCCTTCTGGAAGAAGGCACCTCTCACGCAGATATCAGCCAGAGTATCAAGCAGCCCTTCATCAGGCTTCAACCGCGGGACAACAGAATCCGCTTCTGAGTTCTTCTCTCCTTTCCTCGCTTCGCACCTATCCTTCACTTCCTTCCACAGGAGAAGAGCTTCTCCTGGTTTTCTCGACAACGATATCCCATTCGCTAGACTTCCATAAGTAGCCACATCAGGGTAAAACCCATTCTCCTTCATATTCTCTATCACTCTCTTCGCCTCCTGAACCAACCCTATCTTGCAATACCCTTCCACCAACATGTTCCAGGCGACCAAATCAACTTTGACTCGTGAATCCTTCAGCATTTCGTCGAACACCTTGTGAGCCAGCTTCGGCTGACCAGACGAGGCGAAAGCTTTCATCAGCGTAGTGTAGCTGATCTTGGTTGGCGGAATCCCTTTCGCTCGCATCTCGTTGAAGAAACTAAGGGCCTCAGCGCTATCATCCACCTTTATACACCCATCGATCAAAATGTTGTATGAAACAACATCAGGTTCAATTTCAGCATTACCTGTCATCTCCATCAACAGCTCCTTTGCTTTGTCTATCTGCAGCTGCTGACAATACCCCTTCAAGAGAATGTTGTATGTAATCCTATTCGCCGGCACACCAATCCTCGCCATCTCGCCCAGCACTTGCCGAGCTCGATCCATGGCACCCACCTTCACAAAAGCAGAGACCACAGTTGTATACGTGACGTGATCAGGATGGCTCGCTTGGTCGTCCTGATGCCTCATCGCTTCCAGCATTCTAACAGCGTCAGCAGCTCGACCTTGCTTCATGTACCCTTTCATCAATGTCGTGTATAGTCTTGAATTTGGAGCATAAGATTTAGGCAGCAATGGCGGCTCGGTTTCGTTACCATCGTCAACGGAATTAGGAAGCAACTTCTCAAACACGACTGCCTCATCATCTACATTTCCATCTTCATCTTCATCATCATCATCATCGTCTTCCCTCGATTCCTCGTCATTCGCCTCCCTCATAATCTTGCACAAATCTCTCCTTCCTTCCCTCATGGCCTGAACCAGCTTCTCAGCAGTTTCGAGATCCCCAAACCCTACATAAGCGGCCACGAGGGAATGGAGAGTGGTCATACAGAACGGGACTCCCTTCTGGATTGCAAACTCGACGACGAACACCATCAAGTCCTTCCTGTTGCAACGGGCGCAGAGCTTTATCATGACGTTGTAGGTCAAGATGTCGGGATGGAGACCGAGCTCGGGCATTTCATCGAACAGTTGGAGGAACGTTTTGGTGTCCCCGATGTTGGCGCAAGCGTTGAGAGCGTTGTTGAAAGAGGCGGTGTCCGGCATGGAATCCCGGACCATCTCCGGGTCGGGGAATTTCCGCACTCGTCGGACTATCGATTTGAAGAGCTTGAGGGCCAGGACGGGGCCGTCGTCCGGGGAGGAAGCCAGGCGGCTGACCACCGCGGACCAGGCCTTGACGTGGGGGAGGTATCCGGAGCGGAGCATGGAGTTGATGACGGAGACGGCGTAAGGGAGCTGGCCGGACTTGGTGGCGGAGACGGCGAGGAGGCCGAGGGAGTTGGCGTCGAGGCGGTGGAGCTCGCGGTCATGGCGGAGGCGCGTGAGGATGGACTGAGCGCGTGCGAGGGAGAGAGGGGAGTTTTGGAGGGAGAGTTGGGAGACCAGGCGGCTAAGGCAGGTGGAATTGGGGAGGTGGAGAGGGGATGATGCCTCGTACACCGCCCACGCCTCGTCGGTCTTCCTCTGACGGAGGAGGAGGAGAAGGGCTTGGTCGCTGCCGGAGGCGGAGTAGGGGGCGGGGGTAATGGCGGTGGTGGTGGTTTGGACGCAGAACGAGCGCGCGGATCTGGAGTGGGAAGCGGACGGCGGGAGGGAGAAGCAGTGGAAGGGAAGGGTGAGAGGGAAGAGGTTAAGGAGGGAGAGCGAGGAGGAAGGAAGGGGTGTGCTCATGGCTGCTGCTGATGGCGGCGGAGACGGTGGTCGGAGTCCATCTAATGCGGCGAGAATTCGGAGAGCTGGTTGGCGGTAAAGGAAGAAAGGGGGAGAGGATAATGGAAGCTTGTGGTGTGGAGAGGTGCTACCAAGGCAAAATTTGAGCGGCAGTGGAGAAGCTCCACAGAGCTCGAGTTTCGCAAGTCGCACCTTTTGCTTTATTCGTTCCACCGCCACGTCAGTAAACCAAAATTCCACTTGCTAATTACAGGTTTGGTCACTCAAATTACATAAAAAATTTCATGTTTGCCACCCGAATTACTTTTCTTTCTAATTCGCCACTAACTTTACGAATCGTTTCACCGTTAGTCACCGACCGTTAATCTCCGTCAGACTCAATTAACTCCGTTAGTTTTTGTTTTTGTCGATTGAGGGAGGGGAATGAGTCGCTAATCGCCTTCCTCCGGTGTGAGTGTTATAGGTTGATGGAGGGAGGGTCGCCGATGTTCAAGGAAAAGGCGTTTGGGGAGAAGAGGATGGAGCAAGACGACGTCGTTAGGGAGGTCGGTGGAGACTTGGGCGAAGTCGAGAGAGGTCTCGGCGACGGTGAGGGGAATCGGCAATTCTGTTAACCACATCAGCAAATAACTGACGGTGTTAACAGAGACGGACGGAGACTAACGAAGAGTGACCGTACTTGGTCCATTCTATTAAATTTAGTGAACAAGAATGAAATTAAATATTTTTAGGGACGAAACATTTAACTTTTTTAGTAATTGCAGTGACCAAACTTGCAATTTACCCCTAACAAATGTTGGGATTTCTTATATGCGAGTCGGATAATTTCACACCACTTGGTCAGAGTACTAAAATGGTTGAGATGTTACAAATTGTATCAAAGCCTCCGTGCATCCTTCTTGAACAATAATAGGGAAAACCTCAACAGCAAACTTGAAGTTCTAAGAGAATGTAACATAACTCAGTAGACAAATTCCACATCAACAAAACAACAAAACACACGAGAGATTCATAGTTCATAAAATATAATCCAACGATTAACGGCCAAGACACATACGGTTTCCATTTTGTGTGGTGTGGATACCGTTGGAGAAAACGTGGCCGGAAACTGTCTGACATTGTCCATTGCGATTTGGAACCCAAACGGATCGGTCTGTACATAACTGCAGAAAGGAAAACCAACTAATAATGGAACTAAAATATCCAGTTGAATAATATCTAGACTTCCATGTTTCCATCTTCTGTACACCAAAATACTGCTACCTCCAATACCTTCTTCTAGCCTATATATATGTACATTACGGCCTCCCTACCTAAAATCAAAGCCAAGAGGAGAAGAGAAGATAAACCTTCTAGCTGATGTTCCATTCCAACAAGGCACAAACTAGCTTAACAATCACCTCCCTCCCTACCTTCTATCTAATTTGAAAGGAAAACAGGAAAGCACGCCTCCCCCCTGTTATGTTATTTACAAATTCACAGATTCGTTGGCTATGTACTCCCCACGCCAGCATCCGAGTCAAATCTACGAAAGATGGAACGAGCCTTGCCCTTCTGTAATCGCATATACCAGTTTCTCCTTCATCTTCTCCTGGGAAAAAAGAAGAGATGAAAACAGCACAAGTGAAAACCATGGCGAAGATTGGCACCACGCAATAGCGAAAACAGTGGAAACTGCGGAGTTCGATGGGGGTTACTTTAGTTGAGTAAGGGGGCAACTTGAGGTAATTAGCACAGGTCATGACACTGGGCAGGTCCACATCTGCTGAAGCGCTGCAGTGCTGTGGTGCGAAGAGCAAATGAGAGAGTTTTAGATGGTTAAAACTAAACCAGTTGAATAGGAGGAGGTTAAGAGAAAGGTGTTACTTGGGATGGAAGGGAGCGTACCTTCCTCACGATTGTCAGCTTAGGATTCAATGATGCTAAACCTCCTGGAGGCAGTCGAGGTGCCCCGGTCACAAATTGGAGAAATGCTCTTCTCTTCTCGTAATCAAACTCCTGAATTATTTCCAGCAACTGATTCCACCAGAAAATAAAAAGCTTACCTTAACTACCCATATTAATACAAATGCTGTGACCTAAACGTCCATACTTAGAGAGAGACAGAGAGACAGAGAGAACCTACGTTTATGACTGGAGGACTGCTTGCAGTGTAGCCATGATCAAACTTGATATGATCGAAGAGCTCATTGAACTGCTTCATAAGGTAGTTGAGAAAACAAGAAAAAACGAAATACACATTCCGTAATTGAGAGTTGCAAACGTGGGGAGCAAGTAAAATGAATGGAAAATCGAGAGACAAACTTACACTCCAAAAATCCCGCTCTCCGCACACTAACCGCTCTAATTCCTCTTCTGTGAAAATCTTGAGATGTTCGATTGGGAACACCTGAAAGTAAATTTCAGACAACCAACCTCAATAAGTTTGGAGACTACTTTGTAACAGGGGTTCACACATCAACATTTTATATTGCTATTGAGCCTTCGTGTACCCAAGTATAATAACATCCTGTTTATGCCAAAAATCTTATGAAATTAGACCATAAGTTGCTTATTGTTTAAATGTCATATCAAATTACAGAAATAAACCAGCTATCCTACGAAAGCCAAATGGAACAACCCACATAAGACTTCTGATAAAAGGTACCTGATTAAATCCAGACTTGAAAGCTTCAACCTGTCTACAAATTCCAGAACGCACAGTAGCATCCACCACAAGGGTAACATACTCCTCCAAGTTATCCATATTTACCTAACATGAATACACCAGAAACACAAAACACCAGTAGTTCGTACAAAATCATCTGTCATTATTACCAACAAAAGCAGTCAATTGTTGTGGAGATATTCTTCACCATTTTAGGATCTTCATTAGCATTAAGAACATAACACGGATAGCCAGGAAGAGTAAAATCGAGACAAAGATCCTCGATTTTGGTGTCCCGGAAGCATGCATCAAAACTGGCTCCAATAACACCAGATTCCAAAACAATCTTTTTCCTGTTAACCAGCGCCTGAAACTCTAGCAATGTCCTACCCAGCTCAGGATCAAATGATGGGATGTCGCATATGTTCAGTTCCTTCAGGTAGAAATATTAAAACAAACAGTCAGCCTCATTGACAAATCAAAATCACAGATAAAGTGTATAAGAACTAAGAAGTCTTCTAAGGGTGAAAGCATTCGAACTTAATATAATTAATCGACTACCTGATGAAGAATAAGCTTATAGAAAGCTTTGGAGAAGGGCAGATCCAAGACTCTTCCATCTTGAAGAGCTTTTGCCACAATTTGGCCCAACAGGAAAAACCTTTTACCGACCTCACAAAATTTTACTCCATTAGATGCATCCAGCATAGGTGGCGGCATCGGGCAAGGAAAAAGCCCAAGAGGTGAGACAACTTCAGAGTGCCGAGTCTGCATTTCTTTCGCCATGCATGAAAAGTGCTCTCCTCTCCACATGGCAAGACCAGAATTCTGAAACTCGTGAGAGACCAAAGTGTAAAACTCCAATGTTGGGCCAAGACCAGTACCAACTTCTTCACTATATTCAACTTCAACGGGTGCTCTAACATTACTATAAAGGTCCATCATTCGAGCAGCAGACTCCAGAATTTGATCACGGGATACTAAGAACTTTTTTCGGGGCGAACTACCAGCAGCAAGTGGTCGCCTGTCTCTCGAGAGGCCTGGATTATTGTTATTATGTTGTTGCAGCTGTGCAAGAGCTTTCTGAGGACCAAAGGCTGATAACCGGAAATATTTACATCTTGCCTCAAACCCAAATAGAAAGGGGCATGAATCCATTAGCTGATTGCACCACAGAGGTAAGCCACCTGTCGATAATGCTAATGGATCCCTCATCTGCTGCTCCAGTTTTTCTGTCAACTTACTGTTCACAAACTCGTTCTGGGGTACCGAAAGAAAAATCACTTTGATATCGTCCAAGTTGTGTATGAGTGATTTGGCAAAACGATGCATTCTTTCCCGAGACATTAGCTGAAAGGTGCACCTGTTGAGACCTTCTAAGCACTTTAGCAGAAACAATGTAGCATAAGTAGGACTAGACCTGTCCACGTCAGAGACTAGTTCAGATTCCAACATAGAACGGAAATATGAAGTATAGAGCAAATGAGCCTCAGTTTTTTCCAAAAGGGGTCGAAGTGGATCCTGGCTTCCTTCACGGTTTTCATCCTCGGGTTCAGTGGCTACCTTATATGTAATAGTGTACACTTGACTCCACAAGTTTGCACTGGAATTAATTTCGAGCTCTGATGTAATCTTTTGTTGGATAAACGCTTGGTACAATGTTAAAGTCTGGTCCAGCGGTTGCCCATCCATGTAGAAGGCCAATTTCAGAGAATCATCTCTGCTGTGAGGAGATGCAGAAAAGCAACTGTCTGAGCCCACTACTCTCGTGGAAGGAGACTCTTCCCCTGGTTCCACAGAAGCCTGATATAGTAGGAATAGAAACTTGCAAAAATTAGGCAAATTATTTTTTATAAATTTTTTAAGTAAACAATCCATTTGAGAGGGTGTAGTGGTGCCCTTAGTCTTTTCAGGTAGACATGGCAGAAAAATTATTTGCTTTATGTACAGGAATCCATATATAAAGTTGCAGCAAAGTGGAAAAACTTCAAGTGAAGCATTCCAAGGACCAGAAACTATAAGATCCATGAGATAAGAGTTAAACTCACACTAACATTGTTGTTTTCGGACAATGATTGACTGGGACTTCTTGGTTGCAGAACTTCAACAGTTTCAGATGAAGATTGAGATGGCTTAGCTCGATCTTCCTGCAGGAAAAGTTTAAAATGTCTGTCAAATGCCAAGTCTTTGCGTACAAAGAAACAAGCATCCAGGAGATTAATCAGTTCATAAGACTCGGTGAAACCCACACAAAACTTACCTGCATTACAGGAAAGTCAGCAGACATGTTCTCAGATTCCACCATCCATGAACTCTCTCCTTGAACAGAGGTTGCATTTAAGGGTATTTGAAGTTGTACTCCTTCCATTGGCTCCACAGACTGACCAGCTGATTGTGTTCTCTTTCTCACTTTTCTTCTAACCTTGGCCAACAAAAATCCTTGAATAGCAGTCAAGGAGGCAAAAGGGTCAACAGATACAGCATCTTCAGAGTAGTCACGAAGGCACGTCTCCTTCTCTTCCCTTTTGAAGCGCACTCTTAAGCACGGGTGAGATGTCACGCGCCCATGAGGAACTGTTGCATAGAAGTTTCTTTGCTTGAATGAATGGCTTAGAATGACTGGGAAATTTTCCAAAGATGATAATGCATTTTGCAGTTTTTGTATAAGAACTGATATAGTGAACCCTCCATTCAGATCTGTAGATAATGGAAATAACCTGGCAAGTACCTCAAACCTTTCTACAACATGGCAATAATCATAGTCAGCAAGTGGCACCATCTTTTCTCTGAAACACAAGCCATTTGACAAATAACTTGAGAGTGATCTTACAATCCCACTCTCGATAAACTCAAAAGCCGAGACGGGTTCTCTTCCACCAAGCTTTCCCATAATTTGGTGCAGTAGATTATAAAACCTCTCCTCACCATGAGTAGAACAATCAGAGCCAGCTTTATTCATCAACTCATCCAAAGCAACAGCAAGAGCACGAAGATTTTGCAGGATATCTGTCAGTCCTTTGTCAGACTCATCTAACTCTTGAGTAAAGTAACTGGTTCTAATGTGCCTTGCCAGATTTTGAACACTATCCTTTTCAAGTTTGCATTCCCCAGCTTCAGAAGTAGAGGCAGACTCGTTGGTATCAAGAGAATAACATAAGCACTTCAGTGTAGTCCTTGAAGCAGTTTTTTGACCCACCTCAAGTGGAAGTTGAAAGCCATTGGACCCAGGGATAATTGAACTCGAACATTTTTCTGGTGTTAGAAGGGCATCGATTGCAAAAAAGACACCCTCCTTAATGAAAGAGTTCAGTGAAATCTCTGGAACCTTCTGCAAAATTCTCTCAGCAATTTGAAGGACTAAAACAAGTACATGGGTGTCCTTTCTAGTAAAGACGCCAGCTAGGAAACTGCGACATCATTTACAAGTAGTTGTTAGCCTATCAGACAAAAGATAAATAGATATATATATTATCTAAGAAAAAGAAGGCCCAAGTTCACCTTGCAATGTTTGCTTCCTTGAACAAATAAGCAAGTGTGTCAGGTTTGCAGAAATAAACTAACTTGTTGATAACAGATAGACATCCATAGCAGACATACAAATTTGCACCAGAATTAATCACCTGTTTTGAGCGGAAAAGTGAACATCACAAAGTTACAAGAAGGAATTCATGAATCCAATCAAATCACAGATTAGAAGCCAACCTGGACCAACATGGGCATTATGTCTGACCCCAATTTATGCAGAAGATCTGGGTGATCGTTAAGATAGGACTCTTTGTCCAACAACTGAGGTTGAGCATCTTGTTCTCCTGTTACCGATGGTAGAAGCTGAATTAGCAACTTCAGAACTTCATACACCTACAATATAGAAACAGCAAAGGGGAACCGATCATCGCATCCTCTTCAAATCCAAAAGGCACCTAACTGTGGATTCAGCGTGAAGTCAACATTACTTCAGAAGGACAAAGAAGGTTAAGAGAGTAAGAGGTCCAATTTTACCTGGTTTCCTTGCCCATCAACCAAATGAGGAGAAAAGATTCCATGAGAGAGGTCATAGTTAGCTAATATTTCCTTCAGAATACTGCCTATATTAAGGTCATAGAGAGTCTTAAAAGCAGTGAGTGAACCAGAAGAGAGTTTAGCAAGGAGCCCAATCATGCCCTGAAGATGGAAATAAACTGAGAACGTCATGGAACCATAACAATAGAAATAGGGAAATATGTTAAGATTTATCAGCATAGATACATACATTGTATATTGGCTGGGATAAAGTTGTTCTGCTATTCCATTGTACTAAATGTGCGGCCTGATTTACTAGCCCATGCTTACAGAGATCATCCAGCATCTCTTGAGAATGACTAACTCGTTCAGCTATTTTGATCAAGCAAGTGGCCGCATTTTCGACAAGCTGCAGAATAATATACCAAAACAAGGTTTTGAGGAGACAAGTATCATTTGTAATTCTCTAAATCAGAACACGGAAATACTAAACCATAAAAAAGAAAATTATAGCTTAAGGCCACAGCACACCTGCCGATCTTCATACTGCAAGAGATTGCACAATATTGGAACAGCCTCCATGAAAGGAGCAGAACTATCTGTTGGCAGTTTTTTACATATATTAACCACTGTTGAAAGAGCAACTCTCTGAAATAAAAGAAAAACGAAAAAGATTATTGTTGAAATCTCCTGGAACAAAAGAAGTTTGTAGGAATCCACATTAGGAAACAAATGCAGAAGAGGAACACAGAATCTCATTAACGGATGCATGTCTTAATTTCACGCACCTGCACACTTGTGGAAAAGAAGTCTATAAAAGTTAGAACAGCCATGACTGCACCAGCCTGTAAGCAAGGTAGCGGTTGATCATGTGATATTTTCTCCAATGCTTGCAAACACTGTTGACATTTAAATGTGCTAAGGGGATTAGAAAACTGTTCCTTGCTGCATAAATAAAAGCAGCAAGTAAACCAACAGACGAACCAGATTGTACCTGTTCAGCTACATCTAAGTATTCAATGTTCATTAACCTCTGACAAAGAGCTGGAACTGCATTGTGTCCAACAAGCAAGCTAGACGCCCGAGGAAAGACATCACACAAGTAAGTTAAAGCCCTTATGGCCAAAAGCATTATATCCGGGTTACTCTCATCCCTAGCAAACCTAACAAGAACTGGGGACAAAGAATCTGCCATCATAGTTGAAAGTGAATCCTCGGAGCAAAATGCCAGCACTTCACACAACTGTGTTAGAGCAGCTAACTTGGCGGAGGATTCACTTCCTTCACTCAGATTGGTTAAAACACTCCTTAATCTACCATGATCACCAGATGATCTTTGCCTCTGATAATTCCGCAGGCTGCTCTGTCGCGGATCTGCATCATCAGAATCACACGAACCATAAGCAGAATCCCTCTCGTGATCTTCCTCCGAGTGGCTTGAACCCCCAGAATGAGAAGATGTAGTATCCATATCAGCGTCACGGGTCTCTGCGTCATTGGGATCAGGCGTGGAAGTAATATGTGCTTGAGCTGAGGAATTCGATGTACTCGGTCTAAAATCCAATGAACTGCAAGCTCTCTTGTCAGCTGGCAATTCATCGATCACTTCTGATCGCTTTTGCCCACGATTGGCCATTCTCCCCAGGATCCTAACAATAATTCAACATCAATTGACGAAATCCAATACACATTTCGCATCTAAACAGAAACAAGAAGCAATCCGAGAAAGGAAAGGCTCCAAATAGCAAGAAATTCAGCATCTAGCATTCCGGCAAGTGCTGAACACACTGTGAGCACTGCCATTGCTGATGATTTTAAGCACTCCAAAATCGCAGATATAATCAACGTCACCGTGCCTATTAGTGAAAAACACTGGGCTTCAACCGAGAATTGTAAGAGGAAACGAACTCAAAGTATACACCATGGGAGAACAAAGAAGCAATTTTTCATCCACATACAGAACACAATCAATCAGTCCCAATCTCGATCAAACCCTTCTTCCCAAGAGGGAAAATTCCACAACGGATAACGAAGCAGAACCAGAAATCAAATCCTGCCTTAGAACACACAAAAAGGAAAAGCACAGAAACGAAAGAGCAAGAGAAGGAAAAAAAAAATACACACAACAGCCAATGATGTTCATTCCGCCGCTGGGATGGTGAAGACAAAGGAGTCTACGATCGAGTCGCAGTTGAGAGGATTTAACAAAAGGAGTACCTAAATAATTTACTGATGAGTTTTTCTTCGAGTTGTTTAAAATTGGCCTTCGAAGATGATCGAAGACCTGAAATTTGCAGTGAAGAAATATAGAGCACTTCCGGTCTTGTGTTATTTCTGTCCGATGTTCATCTCGTTCTTTAACAAACAGTTTCCGGCCCCCTCGCCGTCGTTTGGTTTTCCGCCGATGAGGCTGGTGCTTGTGCTGGTGGTGATGATCCAAACAGAGGCGATGGCGTGGGTGTATAGGAGGAAACAGAAACGGGGTGGCGTATTTATCAGTTGGAGTTGGAGTATATATATGGATGAGGTAAAAAGAGGAGAAGCGCACCGCACCACCGTGAATTTCGAACGGAATCGTTTCATTATTTTCTGTTTTCTTTAGGAGTAATCCCACAAGAATATTTCAACATAAAAAAAAATGTCTGTTTTTTATTCAAATTTTTTTAAATTTTTTTATATTATCCAAACCTATTAAATTATATTAATTAGCCAAATCTATCTTATTGCATCAAAATAAAATATTAGTCATTTTTACGTTATCGTTAATAATTTTGTAACTCTTTTCTTAGTTAAAATAATAAAATTTTGGAATGTTGACCTTCACGTGTCTCTTCCAAGTCAGTCTCATGTTGCCAAGTCAATGTTACTAACAAAATTGCTAATTGGAAATTAACATTTGGTTAATTGTTAGTATTTCGATAGGTTTGGATAATATAAAAGAATCTAAAAAAGATTTGGATAAAAAATAGACATTATCCAAAAAAACATTGTTATTTTCAATTATGCGATGGTAAAAGTTACAAAAACCAATAGTCAAAATACACCTGTATAGCCATAACTTTCACACTTTTGACAAATATAGTCATTTCTATTCGAAAACCACAAATAGCCCAAAAAACGGAGGGTAGTATGACAAATCTAGCCAAAACCAATAGTCAAAATACACATGTATAGCCAATAACTCGTTTGACGGAACGCTGACGAGGACGGAATCCGACCTCCACATGATTGACACTTCAGCAAAATGTACACGTGGAATGCCGCGTGTAGAAAAAAAATGGTATATCTTCTTACTTACCCCCCTTCTCCTTCCCTACAACCCGAAAAACAAATTCTCACGATTTAGGGTTCGCACCTGGTGGAGACGATGCCGCCGCTCGAGACCACGACGCCGCCGCTCAAGACCACGTCGTCGCCGCTCGAGACCACCACCGCTGTCATTCAGTCCTTTTCTGCTCGCGCATCTATCGTTCTGAAATCCCCATCATCTTCTCGATTTGCAGCGATGTCACAGCGGGGCTCTTCCTCAGCGACACAAGAAAAGGAGGTAAGAAACAGCCTATAAGTACATCCTACCCATAATCGAAACCTCCAACCAACCTCTCTCTGAAAAACTCACCAATCGCGCCAGAATGTGAAAACCAATCGCGCCAGAATGTGAAATTAGGGTTTTGGAGAATCGGTGGGAAAAGACTTACCTATGCTTCGTCGATGCGTTCTTCATTACTAGGATGCTTGGGTTGCGTCGGGAAACGGTGGCCGCCGGTGGATTAGTCAGGATGCATGCCAGAGTTCGTCATTGGAAGGGACGCGAAATCGGGGATGATAAAAGCTGAAGTTTTCGGGGTTGGGATGAGGATTTATAGAGGATTAGGGCGATGAACGAAAGCTGGAAGGGGGTTATCGGAGGAAGATCGGAAAAGGGGGGTGAAATCGGTCGTCGTCAGTCTCGTGGTCGGAGGAAGAGAGGTGAAGGGGGAAAGAAAAACGAAGGGATAAGAAAGAATGGACGAGTCACGAGTGGTGGTGTGCAGCTGGGTCACTTTCATCTTTTTTTTATTTATTTTATTTTCCGCGTCTGATTTTCACGTCGGAAGGTGGGGTAACTCAGTGGCCAACTCAGCGCAAGCCGTTAGTACAGTCATAACGTCTACTAACACCGTTACCAAAATGGACGGAATTGGCTATTTGTGGTTTTCGAATAGAAATGGCTATATTTGTCAAAAGTGTGAAAGTTATGGCTATACAGGTGTATTTTGCCAAACCAATATTACAAATCATATATTTAGCCTTTCATTTTTTTTAGGTAGTAAATTCATTCAGGATTGTGGAGATGAACAGGAACCACGCTTATGACTTGAAGGACGAGCTCTTACGGAGTCTTTGTTCCTTGAACCTTGCAACAAGGTTCTCAGGTGGGAAGCCTGGAACACTCTCCGAAGATTTAGCTGTTCAGAGAAAAGATAAAGAGTATGATATATTTCCTAGAGAGAGTGGATAGTTGAACATACCATTATATGAGAATCAACCTTGTTATTTATACTTGTTCACTAGTGACTGAGTGCATTTAATGCGATGTCAGGCGTCTCTCTCCTTTCGATCAATGAGATGACAAGCCGCCTAAGGAAAGAAATAGTGAGACCCAATGTGTACTGCCTTGGGTCATTGCCCGAGTCTGTCTCGGGAGATGTAGCTGACCAAGTCAATCTTCTATCAACCAGCTTACAATGATATGACGGGTCATTGTAAGGCGGGGATCTAACACATTCCTCCCCTGGGTTTATTCTCGAGGATGTCTCGGGAGATGTAGCTGACCGGCGTCACCTCGAAGTGATCATTGAGAAGCCTCGGGAACAGAGAGGCTACTGCCTTGTGAAGCCTAACTGATGTGCCCCTGCATACGGCCACTCTATTGGGCCGAATGATCCATCTTTTTGGGCTTATTTCTTTGGGCCTTGAGTTACGAGCAACTAGGCCATCACACGTGTACCATTGGCCAACAATTGCTCTTAAGGTGGTAAAAGACTTGAATTTTGGCAGTTGTAACTCTTTGAGGCTTAAGCGCGTGATCTTCGGCCGCCCCAGAGCCCCCTTTCTCCCTCAACCGTCATGAGGCGAGACTACTTATTGTTAATTGGTCTGTTATGCGGCCACACGTGCGGTCTCAACTACCGTGTCTGATAGCTAGTCCCATCAATCAGGAGCCGTCGCTTCACTTCCCTCACTTTATTTTAAATTTTGCCATTTATAGACCCCTTCCTTCTTCCCAAACGACTGCTCCTTGCCCCTTTTTCCTCTCAATTTTGGTCGTTATCTTCGTTAGTTCTCTCCACTTTGCTCGGTAAGAGGTGGATAGCAATGTCTGTGCTGCTGTGACTCATGAGTTTCAGGCTCTCCTTGATACTAGGGATGTCGATCTGAACCAAGCTAAGATTAAAATCAATGCGCTCTCCGTGGAGCGTGATCAATGCTCGGGTCAGGCTAGCTCGACTCATTTGAAGGTGGTTGAACTTACTGTTAACTTGGAAGCTCTTGAGCAGGAAAAGAGATTTGTAGTGCGGAGGCGGCTAACCAGGCTCAACAAGGGCTGACAGCATGGTGGCTAAGTAGCTCTCCTCTTATGCATTTCAAAAGGACGATGAAGATAGGTACTTTAAAGCCTTGAATTCTGTTGTGGCTTCCATTCGTCACTTGTTTCGACAGACCTACTCGGAGGCCATTTGGGACTCTGATGTGGTCCTGAAGGCGATGGAGTCGTGGACTGATGCATATATTGATCCTGAAAATGAGGGTTAAGGTGTCCTAGTGCCGCTAGTTCAATCATCTCTTTTTTTGTTGGCCTGTAGTATATGACTTTCGTTTATTGGTCCTTTTAGTATCAGACTTTCCATTGTAAGGATAATCTTAATCTTCCCCCATTCGATTCTTCGTTGATGTTTCTCCTTGCTTTCACTTGCATTTCTCGTTGTGATAATGACTACGACGTTAGGGCAGGACGTGTTGATCTCCTTCTTGATGAGGTGACACGGGGTGCAGTCGGGCAATGACCTGTTGTCACTAGTCACTGCGTTTATGCGATGCGCTCAACTAATTATCACCCTTTCATAGCTTGGCTTGGCTGGCACATGGGTGTGAAGCCATCTCCTAATCGCGACACACTCATTCGTTGCTTCTTCTTAACCCTTTTTAGTTTAATCTATATTTCATTTGGTTTGGGATGTTACACCTTGATTCTTGTGTTTTTCCTTTGTGTGTTTGAATTTGAATTATTTTTTTTATTTTCTTTCTTCTAAACTATAAATATTGTGTGCAATAACTTTACCCTTGTGACTTTGTGATTTTGTGTGTTGCTTCTTGTGATAGCTCATCTCTTGATACTTGTCCCAACTCCAGTCTGACTCTTCACAATGTCATGCTTAAGTTTGGGGGTGTTGAATATGTGTGTATGATGGCATGTGAATGTGAATGGAACAAGAGTGTCTCGCGCGTTGTGGATTCAAAAACTTCTTGCAAAAGGTGCTCCATTTTTAAAGTGCTTTGAATGAAACAAGAGTGTCTCACATGTTGTGGGCTTGTGGCAAGTGGGCATAATGCTTAGTGAATCCCTTGAAGGGTTTATTAAAATCCGTTTTTTATTTAAAGATGTATAAGGGAGACAAGGATATTGCTTCCGAACCTTCACCTACTACTCTCCATCCTCCCTTACACCTCTCCTCTTCAAGGGGACTTGATAGAGAAGAGACACTTTTCTTCTCAAGTCGAGAGGCCTCGACTCTTGATTATCTCACATGTGTGGCAACCCATTATTAACTTAGGTCGGTCTCCATAGATCGAGTCTAGCAATGAGAGTGTGCTTTGGGAAACGCTTTTGTGTAAACTGAGCTCGGGATCTTTTTGTATCCTACCTACTCCTACTAATTTTCATCCTTACTTACATCTAGGGGTGTCAAATGGTGCAGACGTGCAGTTATGACTACCCGCGTTGTTTAGTGCGGTTATCCCTACCCGTTTAAGGCCAAATATGCTAACCGCAATGGTATTGTATGGAGTTAGAAGTTACCTATTAAGCACATAATGCAGGTAGCAGTTACCCACAGTTATCCAATAAAACCCACATTACCTAATGGTCGTGATCAATCAATTATAAATCAAACCTTTAATCGAAAGAAAAGAATTAAATAGTCGTCAACCTCAAATTGCAATTTGGAAAAGTCTAATTACGAGTTACATACAAAATCAGGTTTCGTGGAAGGATGGTGGGAAAAAGGAGGAATTAGAGATAGAGAGAGAAGCAACAGCTTCCATCAAAGTCAGTTTGGTTAGGCTTCATAGGGGCTTGGATTTGATTATTTGTCATTTGAGTCGGGGCTCAATTTAGGCATTAGAGTGCGGTAATTCTTTGTTGAATTGTTTAACTTGTGTGGTTATTTAATTGGTTAACAAAATGGATATATCTTATAAGGTGCGGTTAGTGATTAACCGCATAACCTCGATACAGATCATATTACTAACTGTGTCCATTGAAGGACTCTCTTGTGCAGTGTGCAGTTAACCACTAACTGTACGGTTGCGGTTCGGTTACGGTTAATCCAAAAAAGCGTAAACGTTTAACAGTTTTCCCCATATGGACTTGATAGGAAAGTGAATGTCGCTTCCACTTTTGCCATGAGATAGAGTCATTGTTTTTTTCAAAACTACAGGTGTGATGCCATGAGCAACAATGTAAGTTGAGGATCGAAAGTTTGAACACTTTTAAGTGGGAGAACCACCATCAGGTCCATTGTTTTCAACTGGTTTTTAGAGTCCTTTCATGCTCAAGTCACATGTCTTGACTTCACTGGTTGTCAAGGTCCCAACTTGAGTTTGTGCTTCACATCGAAGTGGAGGTGAGATTTCGTGTCTCCTGTTGACCTCGTAAGTTGCTAGTTTACCCGCTACCGACGATCTAGATTGCATACCATTGTGAGGGTCATCAAGTTGCACCAGTTTAAGTTAGCTTTGCTTGGGGACAAACAAACGGTTCAGCGTGTGGAGTTTGATTCGGACTTAATTATACACATTTGCACCCCCTTTCTTTGATTGTTTGACTTGTGATTCATAGTCCTTGAGGCCATTTTACACTAGGTTGTGCTTGGTTGTGTATATTTCATTTCATAGCTAGTTAAATTGGCAAAAGGAGCGAGAGTCGGACCAATGGGAGCCAAAACGGAACAAAGAGAAGAAAAGTGTCAAAACTCACGGTTCTTAACAAATTATCATGGGCAGACCTGACATTCACAAGGAAAATATGAAGATCGCACACTTCCAGAAGGCCATATGCATCCCGCGGGCACTTGTAAAAGCTCGCAGTTGCAAACCATGACAATTGCATAGAACCTTGAGGTTTGTAAGTGAAACAGTGCACTTGGTGACAACCTCACGATTTGCCTGTAATTATCACACATGTGACGGGTGACTGTGAACTTTGCACTTCTGGGCTATAAATAGTTGCTAAAATCATATTTTTTATAGAGGATTATAAAGTGACAAAGTGGGTTGTTGTTGAATAAAGAAAAAGTGACAAAGGAGATCCCAAGGTGGTGAATTGGAGTTTCAATCTATCATTGTTGGCTAAACCCATCATCAAGGATTGAAGATTAAAGAGCAAGAGCAAGAATCTACTCCCAAACAATTTTATCTTTGGCTCCTTTCCTCTCACTATGAGTTAAACCATAATCACTTCACTACAAATAAGAGAGACCGTCTTGACGAGAACTTATTGACGACACTAAATTCTCGTCACAAAAATTCACTTTTCTTGACAAAAAACCTGTGTCGTCGGTAATATCCAC